CCCCAAAACCCCAAAACCCCAAAACCCCAAAACCCCGTAATGCTAGAATAAATTAGTAAATGATGAAATCATACTTAATGAGATAAATTATTGATTAAGATTCGATTATGAATATTCATATTCTTGGCTGGCTATCTATTAAACAATTCAAACGCATGATTATTCAAATTATCTTCCAGATTTACCTAGCCAATAGTTGAAATATTCATTAAGACCTTTGTATTATATTTGATAAGGTCATTTACGTCTCTCCTCAGACTGTGATTTGAATCTCAGAGTCTAATTAGAACATTCAGCTGTGCTAAATCTTAATGGGCACACTTTCGCCTTCACGATGTGACTGATGATCATCCTCGTTTTCTTAATTTTACAAATCGTTTGAGTCCTCGTCATTCATTAACTTAGTTGAATGGTTACTCTTGACCTCACTGTAGTCTTCATTGTAGATAGTTTTGCCCATAAATGACGAATAGGGCATGGTAATGATGCAGCCCTCGTAGATATCAGACACTCTCACTTGACACCCTAACCTGGAAGTGTCCTTAAGCAAGAAATCTTAGACCTAGTCCTCCAGTGTCTCGGTCTCCATATCATCTGGCTGAGGAATCTTCTCAACCAAGTCGTCTGGAATGTACACGTGGCAAGTGGCGCATACCACACATTTTGCGCAGATACCTTGCAGGTGATCCTCTAGTTTGTAATTGTGAGCCACTTCTAGCACGCATTCGTCATCTCTTCCGAGAACCTTGACCTTTTAATCTCCGATCTAAAAAAAGAACATCTTGCCCTAAGCTGGAGGGTGACCCATTCCAACCAAGAAACGTCTCTGATAACTTAGTAAAGTTTAGACCTGAGCTAATCTCTGAAGATGTAAATTTGATTGTTAGCTCTGGCCTAATATTGTCTTTTGAACTAATTGACGTAATTTATATTGAGACTTAATCATATTTATTATAATTCTAAAAAAGCAAACGGAATCTTAATCCTATGATTAGATTATTAAATATCTGAATATTCAATTCTAAATAGGGCTCTACTTTAAAATCTCAACTCTGATAAAGTTCTTACTGTCATTTTAACAAGAAATCATATTATTGCATATGAACTCTGAAAACATAAACTATTAAAATCAGAGCATCAACACCTATACTCAGAAGGGGAGAATCGAGCTCATCTTGGGTCCAATGTTCTCTGGGAAGAGTACAGAATTAGTCAGAATCATCAAACGCCACAGAATTGCGCACAAGAAATGCCTGATTGTCAAGCATATCCTTGACGATAGATACAGTGCTCCTAACTATCTATCAACTCATGACAGGTATGCTTAAGATGGTCTCATAATAATTATAGAGTCCAGATGGAGGCAATAGCCTGCTAGTCATTGATAAATGAAGTGATTAAGCACAAGGTTTATGAAGAATATGATGTGATAGGGATTGACGAGGCTTAATTCTTCTAAGATGTAAGGATAATTAACATAATATGGATTGTAGATTGTGGAAGGATGTGAAACATTAGCAAAACTAGGCAAAGTAGTGATAGTTGCTAGTCTGGATGGTACATATCAAAGAAAGCCTTTTGGATCACTGCTTAATTTAATTCCCCTCGCTGAAAAAGTAAGAAAACTCTCTGCTATCTGCAAGGACTGCTTTGACAGCGCCAGTTTCACAATTAGAATAAAAACAAATGCTTGTGTTGTTGATACCAATCATAATACTTAAGATGACAAAACCTCTCCTATTGATAATGCTAATTTAAATACTAATATCACTTATCCTGAGGAGATTTATAGCTCAGAGGATTAAATAGAAATAATTGGGGGTGAAGAGTTATATAAACCAGTATGCAGGTAGTGCTATTATCGTCACACTAAGATTAATTAGAAGTAAGCCTAAGCTATCCCTAAGTTCGGCAATAATTCTCCCGCTAATGATAAAAATGATAATATTCGAAATTCTGATAAAATGAGTCAAACTCAATAATCTGAAATTAAAGACACTGAGAAGCAATCAATGAATGATTTAAATGGAAGCAATAAACAAGAATAATAACTTATGATGATATATCAATAAGCAGTTCTAATATGATTTAATTTCTTTAATATACTCAAATTGTGTATTTCTAATATATCGGGGTTTTGGGGTTTTGGGGTTTTGGGGTTTTGGGG